ACAGCCCTCTTGCTTAGCAACGGAAATTGGAATGGAATGGAAACCTCAGCTGTGGTTGTAAGTCGAGGACTGCCTATAATAAATGATGGGCCTCTTTCTTTTAAAAAATAAACAGGCCGTTCTTGTTTCTCCATGTAGATTGAGGAAAATAAATTTCACAACACATTCCCTGCTGTTTAAAGTCCTCCAGGTTTTACCAAGTACCAACCCTTACATCATGAGAAAGGCGGGGCTAGATGAATCAAAAGTTGGAATTAAGATTGCCGGGAGAAGTATCAACAACCTCAGATATGCAGATGATACCACTCTAATGGCAGAAAGCGAAGAGGAACTGAAGAGCCTCTTGATGGGGGTGAAGAAGGAGAGTGCAAAAGTTGGCTTGAAACTCAATATTAAGAAAACTAAGATCATGGCATCCGTCCCTCTCAATTCCTGGCAAATAGATGGAGAAGAAATGGAGGTAGTGACAGATTTTATTTTCCTGGGCTCCAAGATCACCGCAGATGGGGACTGCAGCCAAGAAATTAAAAGACGCTTGCTCCTGGGGAGGAAAACTATGGCAAATCTAGACAGCATTCTAAAAAGCAGAGACATCACCCTGCCAACAAAAGTGCGTATAGTCAAGGCTACGGTTTTTCCAGTTGCAATGTATGGCTGTTAAAGTTGGACCATAAGGAAGGCTGAGCGCCAAAGAACTGAGGCCTTTGAACTATGGCACTGGAGAAGACTCCTGCGAGTCCCTTGGACTGCAAGGCGATCAAACCGGTCAGTCCTAGAGGAGATCAACCCTGACTGCTCTTTAGAAGGCCAGATCCTGAAGATGAAACTCAAATACTTTGGCCATCTAATGAGAAGGAAGGACTCACTGGAGAAGAGCCTAATGCTGGGAAAGAGTGAGGGCAAAAGAAGGAGATGGCAGAGAATGAGGTGGCTGGATGGAGTCACGGAAGCCATCGGCGTGAGCTTAAATGGACTCCAGAGGATGGTAGAGGACAAGAAGGCCTGGAGAAACGTTGTCCATGGGGTCTCGATGGGTCGGACACGACTTCACAACTAACAACAACAAACCCTTACATCCAAATAGTTTAAATTAGAAATATATTCCTTCTTTCCGAAGAAGTGGGTGTAGCCGAGAATGATATGCTTGGAAAGCAACCAACGTCTACCCCCAATAACTAAGAATGACAAATTCAGAACTTGGTCTCAGGGAACTGTCTCAATACTTATTTTCCACTCATTTTGGTGGCATAGAAAATGGGTCCCCAACCTCCGGTCCATGGACTGGCACCAGGCCACAGCATGCCAGAAACCGGACCACACAAACAAGCAAAGCCCCATCCATGGGATGTAGACAGCACACGAGACCACGCCCTCTCTCCATGGAACTGGTCCCTAATGCTCAAAAGGCCTATAGAGATTCTCAGTCATCCAGGTCATGTTAGTCCCAAAGGTCCTTTTTTAGGAGCCAACTGGATTTTCTTGTTTTTTCTTTTGAAGACTTTTCGCTTCTCATCCAAGAAGCTTCTTCAGCTCTCACAGGATAGTGGGGAATGGAAGGGTTTATACTCCTTGCAGACAAAACTGGTCATTTGCAGCCTTTTAGAGAGTCGTTGAGGCCACTTGGAGGTTTATCTGTGTCCTCAGGGTCACCTGAGGAGTGCAAATGGTTCCTGTAGTCTGCTATTTTTCCTCCTCTGGAAATCCATTCCTACTCCCACACCATTCAAAGGGTGCTCATCCCAAATTGTATAGCTAAAAATCTGTAGATTCTTAGTCGTCCAGGTCAGCGTTGTCCCAAAGGTGCTTCAACGACCCTCTAAAGCAGGAGTATCAAACTCAAGGCCCGGGGGCCAGATTCGGCCCACAGAGTGTTTAGATCTGGCCTGTGGGGCCAACTCTGGAAACAGCCAAGGACCGGCTCACGGTGCCTCTGCTAGCAAAGCTCGGGAGGGCTGCATGTGGCCCTTCTGAGCTCCGTCTTTGCCGGCAGAGGATTGCAAGAGGCCGTCGCAGCCAAAAATGGAGCTCGGAAACCCATTTTCACTGGCAGAGCACTTGGGCCACCACAGGCACCCCTGACATAAGTGACGTCGAGCTGGCCACACCCACCCCGGGCCTCCAAGGTCAAACACAACCCTGATGCAGCCCTCAATGAAATCGAGTCTGATACCCCTGCTCTAAAAAGATTCAAATGACCAGCTGTCTGCAAGGAGTATAAATCCTTCCATTCCCCACTATCCTGTCAGAGCTGAAGAAGCTTCTTGGATGAGAAGCAAAATGTCTTCAAATGAAAAAAAAAAAAAAAACCAACAGAAAGTCCAGTTGCTTCCTGAAAAAGCACCTTTGGGATAGTGCCCAAAAGGTTTTTTTCCCCTAAAATAAGGGGGCACCCGGACTTGAACCAGGGACCTCTTGATCTGCAGTCAAATGCTCTACCGCTGAGCTATACCCCCACACTTGTTCCTCTCCAGCAATCTGGTTAAGGATACTCATTAAGCCACACCCCTTTCCAGCAGCTGCCAGCCAGAGGTGTACTTATGTGAAGTGATCCCTGTTTGACTGGCTACCCATGCAAGTTTTAATTACACTTCATTTTACGCCAGACTCAGCTCGATGTGTCTTTGGATAAAGAGCTCTTCAAACAATGCTCTCAGCTTCAAAGCAATTTGTGTTCAGCGCGCACTGCAGACCTATTGTCTCTCTTAGCATTCCTGCTGGTGATTTGCCAGTGCCGGTTCAGCCTTCAGTCTGGATTAGTGCGTTGCCTTAATAATGAGGACCTCGGTTTTTAGAAGTTGGGGCTTCAACCCCATCCTTTGAGGACCTCAGAGGGCCTCTATAGGGGTCTATGACAACTTGCCACGGCCAACTGGCCGCAGGACAACTTGCCACAGCCAACTCACTGCCACCAACTCATTGCAGGACGAGAGTTCCACTAATATTAAAGAAATGGCGGAACAGGATAATGAAGGAAAGGATGCAAAAGGAGGGACAGAATGAAATGTGAAATGAAATATATATATATATATATAATATATATATATATATATATATATATTATATATATATATATATAATATATATATATATATATATATATATATATATATAATTAAATAAATTGTTAAGTTGTCCTACAGTGAGAGCAATCAACCAGTGGAACAGAAGTTGCTTTCGTAAGTTCGTAAGTTGTGGGAGCTTCATCACTGGAAGCTTTCAAGAAGAGACTGGACTGCCATCTGTCAGAAATGGTGTAGGGTCTCCTGCTTGGGCGGGGGGTTGGACTAGATGACCTATAAGGTCCCTTCCAACGCTACTATTCTATTCTGTTCTGTTCTGTTACCCTATCCTATCCTATCCTTATTCTTATCCTACCCTATCCTATCCTACCCTATGATTCTATTCTGTTGTGTTGTGTTCTATTCCTATTCCTATTCCTATTCCTATTCCTATTCCTATTCCTATTCCCAGAGTCCCTTGGGAGTTGGGTGGCATAGAAATATGATAATTAAATTAAATTAAATTAAATTAAATTAAATTAAATTAAATTAAATTAAATTAAATTAAATTAAATTAAATTAAATTATTCCTATTCCTATTCCTATTCCACTCTACCCTACCCTACCCTACCCTACCCTACCCTACCCTACCCTACCCTACCCTACCCTATCCTACTCTATTCAGTTGGCTGTGGCACATTGTCCCATTCCGCTCTACAGATGCCTTGATGTCCCTGGAGGACTTATGGACATTTTTCTCAGTCCATTCTTTGATCACTTTTCATTTTAATGATGGGATAGAGCAGGAATCTCCCATTTGTATTCTTGAAACCAGCTCAATTAAAAAAAAAAAATCACGACCTTATTTTGAGATGTTGACATGCTGCAAATGGGCTGATGGGAGCCACAACTGGCTAAGTTTTTGCCACACTCTAAACCATCAACCATAGTTTGGAAACCTAATTGGTTAGCACACCCAATTTGCTAAACCACATCCAAGTCATGTTACACAATAGAGCCCCTAACATAAAATAAGGCGATCCTGGAGATCTTAAAAATAGGTCAATGCATTTCCAAAATGTCCCATATTTTGTTTGTGGGATAATATATTCTTGAAAGCCCAGGCACGGGGATATGTAAAACATTATGCTTATGTTCAGCATGTTAAACAAAACAAATCTAAGCAAATTACGGTTTATTCCAAAAACATTGGTTAAACATCTATGGAGATTCTCCGTCATCCAAATAGGACAACAAATAGTTGTCCCAAAGGTGTTTTTTTTTTTTTCAAGATGCAACTAAACTTTCTTTTTTTTTCTTTGAAGACGTTTCGCTTCTCATCCAAGAAGCTTCTTCGGCTCTGACTGGATGGTGGGGAAGGATTTATACTCCTTGCAGACAGCTGGTCATTTGCATTTTTTTAGAGAGTCATTGAGGCCACCTGGAGGTTTATTTTGAAGACAGCAAAGTCCACATTTTGGACAGAGAGGATTGCTGGTTTGAAAGAGGGGTCAAAGGGGCCATCTATGTCAAAATCGATCAGTCCTCTATCAACAAAGGGGGAAGGGATACAACATCATCTATCTCCAGTCTACAACACAGTCCTTGAAGTTCCAAGAAGGCTGCACATCCATTTGCACCACTCAGGTGACCCTGAGGACACTGGTAAACCTCCAGTGATCCTCTAAAAAGAATGCAAATGACCAGCTGTCTGCAAGGAGTATAAATCCTTCCATCGCCCAACATCCAGTCAGAGCAGAAGAAGCTTCTTGGATGAGAAGCGAAACTTCCTCAAAGAAAAACAAGGAAGCCCAGTTGCCTCTTGAAAAAGCGCCTTTGGGACACTGCTTAAACCATGATTGAATCCCATCTATCGATTCAATCACTGTCTTCGTCATTCCCTTTTCTTCCCAAAGGCTTGATTCTTCCTTCAACAGCCACGACACCTCCACTTCTTAACCCAAGCCATTTTTTTTAAAAATCCCACACCAGATGTCTCACCTCAATTGTCCTCTCCAGTCATTGAAATCCTGCTTGGGCAGGACAACAGCTGGGCTTGAGTGAACTACCAAGGGAAGGTGATTCTCCAAGTAGGCTGTCTGAATCCACCAATCTCTGACCTAGGATGAATTGGATAAGGTTAGAATATCGTCAGAATATCAATCAATCGTCAGAATGTGTGAAGGAGGAAGGTCTATGGGATGTATAGGCAATTGTTACCCTGTTTCCCCCAAAATAAGACATCCCCTGATAATTTTTTATTTTTATTTTATTTTATTTAAATTTCTATACCGCCCTACTCCCTAAAGGACTCAGGGCAGTGAACAGCCACAGGATAAAATACATAAATCCAAAACTTTAAAATAGAATAAAAACGAATTAAATAATTTGGCTGAACAAATTTAAAATACCCCATAATTTAAAAACAAATTAAAATTTAAATTTTTCATTTAAAAAGGGGGAGAAGATTTAGGCCAGGCCGGCTTGATGAAATAAAAAAGTCTTAATCGCACGACGGAAAGTGCGCAGATCCCGGATCCTCTGTATCTCCGGGGGGAGCTCGTTCCAGATCGTAGGTGCCCCCACAGAGAAGGCTCTCCCCCTAGGGGCCGCCAGTCGACATTGTTTGGCCGACGGCACCCGGAGGAGCCCCTCTCTATGGGAGCGTACTGGCCGGTGGGAGGCTATTGGTGGTAGCAGGTGGTCCCGTAGATAACCAGGTCCTAAGCCAATAAGCCCAATCGTCCTAAGATAATAAGCCCAATCGGGCTTTTGAGTGCGTGGCGATAAGGCCAAGTGCTTATTTCAAAAAAATATAAGACAGGGTCTTATTTTCGGGGAAACACGGTAGAAGCCACAGTGAAGATACATCTCTCAAGATGTCATCACACAAACCCCAGATTATAGAACTTGCATCAACTGCATTAGGATGCAACACGCAACTACTCTGTTTCCCCGAAAATAAGACCTAACCGGAAAATAAATCCTAGCATGATTTTTCAGGATGCTCGTAATATAAGCCCTACTCACAAAATAAGCCCGTATTAAGATTGTCAGCCAGATGGATAGATTTCGTGCCGTATTTCTCCCCAAAATAAGACCTAACCAGAAAATAAGCCCTAATGCATCTTTTGGAGCCAAAATTAATATAAGACCCGGTCTTATTTTCCGGGAAACCCAGTAAGTTTGCAATCTGCTCCCTGTCCCACCTCCATTGAGGCCTCTGGTATACATCCCTACAATGATCCCGATTTCTATCCTGTTGCCATTAGGTAAAAGGACATAGGGGTAGTCCTTGACTTACAACAATTCCTTTAGTGACCATTCAAAGTTACAATGGCAATGGGGAAAAAAAATGATATATGATTATTTTTCACACTGATGACTGTTGCAGCATCCCTATGGTCACACCATCAAAATTCAGACGCTTGGCAACTGACTCCTATTTATGATGGCTGCAGTGTCCCAGGGTCATGTGATCTCCTTTTGTGAGCTTCTGGCAAAGTCAATGGAAAGCCACGTTCACTTAAACAGACATGTTCCTAACTAAACTGCAGTGATACACTTCATAACAAGAAAGGTTGTAAAATGGGGCAAAATTCACTTAACGACTGTCTTGCTTAGCAACAGAAATTTTGGGGTCAATTGCGGTCGTCCTTCGCTTCTAATAAGTAAAAAATATATGAAACTACAAAAAAAGCCCTACAGCCTCTGGAATTGGACAGTTTTATTAAGTCTCATAAGTATTTTTGTAAGGTTAAATAGATCAATAGGTAAAAGTAAAGATTCCCCTGGCACATATGTGCTAGTCGTTCCCGACTCTAGGGGATGGTGCTCATCTCAGTTTCAAAGCTGAAGAGCCAGCGCTGTCAGAAGACGTCTCCGTGGTCATGTGGCCGGCATGACTAAACACCAAAGGCACATGTAACGCTGTTACCTTCCCACCAAAGTTGGTCCCTATTTTTTCTACTTGCATTTTTTACGTGCTTTCGAACTGCTAGGTTGGCAGAAGCTGGGACAAGTAATGGGAGCTCACCCCGTTACGCGGCACTTAGGGATTCGAACCGCTGAACTGCCAACCTTTCACTCGACAAGCTCAGCGTCTTAGCCACTGAGCCACCGCGTCCCTTAAATAAATTAATTAAATAGATCAATAGACCCAGGGAAATTCATTATTGCTATTTATATTGTTGAAATTATTCCTATTCCATTTACAATGATAGCAAACATGTTTTTTTTTAACAGACCAAAATACTATGCACACAGATATATTAGGAACTGACTTACCAAATAGGATTTTGACTTTTGGTTGTAATGAAGAAAAATTCATTTCTAATATCAGTGCTTTTTTCCATAAGAAGACAAGAGGTGGGCTTTCATGCTGACAGCCCCATAATTAAGGAATAATTCCTTGTGCTCAGGATGGCTGTTAAAAAACGTTCTTATTTCAGGGTGATTAGAATAGCTCATCTCATTTTGTCCTTGTTTATTGTTTTGTTAATGAGTTTTCAGTTGTTTTTAATTATCGAGAGATATTCCGATGTGCACTGCCCTGAACTGGCCACATGGGGGCAGCCAATAAATGCTGTTAGTAGATAAATAAAGCCAAAAAACCCCAGAGCAAGAAGAAATTTAAAATATGTGAAAACTTTTCAAGCAATACATAAAACCGTTTTTGCAGACTGTTAAGTTTCTGCATCAAGGAATTTATATTTGTAAATTCCAAGGGCGGAGGGAACATGCCATCTTTTTAGGATTAAAAAATAATAAAATTTTATATAGCAACAAAAAGAAGTTATATAAATTGCATCAGCTGAATTTTTGCGTTAGTGCCACGTCCAGCTGGGATCATTAATAAAGTCGGTCAGGCATGGATTGAAACATTCTACTTTCTGCCTGAAAGGAAAGTCCAGCTTCAGTGAACCAAAACAGAGAAAGCTTTAATATTTTTTCTCCAAACTATTAATTATCAGCTCCCCACTGACGCAAAGGATCCTTAAAACAACAAGGACAAGAACACTGTGTGGTGAGCACTGAAGACAAAGTCTAGTAAGATTTATCATGTTTGCTTGTTTGCACACTTGGATGTGTTAGAGGTTCGATTGTCTAATTCAAGCTAGACAACCCGTGACCCACTGGGTCATTGTTTCAGAAATATTTCCTTATTTAAACATAGAAACTGAATGACCACAGCTAGGCAAAAGAGTAGAGTAGAGTAGAGTAGAGTGTAGAGTAAAGAGAGAGTTGAGTAGAGTAGAGTAGAGTAGAGTAGAGTAGAGTAGAGTAGAGTAGAGTAGAGTAGAGTAGAGTAGAATAGAATAGAATAGAATAGAATAGAATAGAACAGAACAGAACAGAACAGAACAGAACAGAACAGAACAGAACAGAGAGAGGAGAGGAGAGGAGAGGAGAGTAGAATAGAATAGAGAGTAAAGTAGGGTAGGGTAGGGTGGAATAGGAATAAGAATAGGAATAAGAATAGAGTAACAGAGTTGGAAGGGACCTTGGAGGTCATCTAGTCCAACTCCCTGCTTATGCAGGAAACCCAATGCCATTTCAGAGAAATGGTTGTCCAATCTCTTCTTATAAACTTCCAGTGTTGGAGCATTCACAACTTCTGGAGGCAAGTTGTTCCACTGAATTTCTCCTTAGTTCTAGGCTGCTTCTCTCCTTGATTAGTTCCCACCTACTGCTTCTTGTCCTGCCCTCAGGTGTTTTGGAGACTAGCTTAACTCCCTCTTCTTTGTGGCAACCCCTGAGATATTGGAACACTGCTAGGAGTAGGAAGCAACTTTTAACATTCAATGTTTTTAATGTTTTAATGTTCTAATTGCTTTAGAACAGTGATGCAGTGGATGTGATGTGCCAGTGCCTGGAAGCTGTGAGGGTCTGGATGGGAGTCAACAGGCTCAGACTTAACCCAGACAAGACCGAATGGCTGTGGGTATTGCCTCTTAAAGACTATATTGACTATGTTCACTATGTTGACTGTCCATCCTTGGTTCTGGGGGAAGGAGAAATTGTCCCCTTCAGAACCGGCTCGCAATTTGGGTGTCCTCCTAGACTCACAGCTAAGATTAGAGCAACATCTGACAGCTGTGGCTAGGGGGACCTTTGCACAGGTTCGCCTGGTGCACCAATTGCGACCCTACTTGGATCGGGAGGCTTTCCTCACGGTCACTCATGCCCTTGTCACCTCACGGTTAGATTATTGCAACGCGCTCTACATGGGGCTACCCTTGAAAAGTGTTCAGAGACTAGTTGGTCTAGAATGCAGCCGTGTGAGCTGTCGTGGGTGCACCTAGGTACATCCACATTACACCAATTCTCCGCGAGCTGCACTGGCTCCCTATTGGTCTCCGGGCACAATTCAAGGTGTTGGTTATTACCTTTAAAGCCCTACATGGCTCAGGGCCAGGTTATCTTCGAGACTGCCTTCTACCGCATAGCTCCCAGCGACCGGTAAGATCCCACAGAATTGGTTTCCTCTGGGCCCCGTCAGCTAAACAATGCCGGCTGGCGGGCCCGCAGGGGAGGGCCTTCTCTGTGGTTGTCCCGGCTCTCTGGAACCAGTTACCTCCTGAGGTCCGGACCATCCCCACCCTATTGGCCTTCCGGAAAGCGGTGAAGACCTGGCTTTTCCGGCAGGCCTCGTGCCGCTGATCTCGCTCTTGCGAACTGGCGAGATCCGGCCATGAATGGTGTGAATGAGTTTTAATGTTTTAATGTTTTAAATTTTTAAATGTTTTTTGTTAGGATTTTAAATGTATTGTGAGCCGCCCTGAGTCTTCGGAGAGGGGCGGCATATAAATTGAATTAAATTGAAATTGAATTATATTTCTGTTTTATGGTGTTGTAAGCCACCCATAGATTCATTCCAGTGTGATGGTTAGCATATAAATATAACAAAGAAACAAACTTTGGACTTCCTGCTGGCTTCCCCACTGACTTTCCTTGTGGGAAGCTGGCAGGGAGCACTGAAAATGATGAAGGTATGACTGCAGCTTACTGCGATGGTGGGACAGAGTGGCAGCACTGAATTAGTCACAACTTAGCCAAGTATCACTGATCCTGGATTGTGGGTGCCTTTTATAAGTTAACCTATCTGAGGTCCGTTGATTCAAAAATTGTTGCCCTATGATGCAGAGTTTCACCCAATTGAAGGTTACAATCAAACAGACATGAGGGTTTTAGTAGTATATAGTTATGGCAGCCTTCCCCTGCTTAATGCCCTCCAGATGTGCAGAGATTGGTCCAATACATCTGGAGGTCACCAGGTGCTGTGGGAAGACCCGACAGAATCTAGCGCAAACTACAAATGATTCTTAGGTTATGCAGTGAATCCCATGCAGTGAATCGTCGTGCAAACACTGCCACTGTGTACCTGAGGCACAACATCGGGTGCAAGTATCTGAGTTGTGACACTTGTCACATCCATTTTATCTGTTCTCCCCTTTTCCCCAGCAAATGCTCCTAAGTAGATCCTATATTGATCATTACGAACTTGGCATCCACTTGGTGGCTCATTTCTGTGACAAGGTAAGTACAGAGCAAGCTCTTTAGTTCCCATACCATCAAATAAGCAACTTGGGCAGCAGTGCCCAGTAGTTCCCTCACCACTTTCCCCATTAGTACGAATTAGCTGAACAAACCGTTAAGGTTTTGGCATGGAGAGGTCTCGTTTTTTTTTTTAATTTGATTTATATGCCGCCCTTCTCTGGAGACTCAGGGCGGCTTACAGTGCGTTAAGCAATAGCCTTCATACTTTTGTATATTTATACAAAGTCAGCTTATTGCCCCCACAATCTGGGTCCTCAATTTACCTACCTTAGAAAGGATGGAAGGCTGAGTCAACCCTGAGCCTGGTGAGATTCCAACTTACAGTAATTGCAGACAGCTGGTGTTAATCACAATGCTATCAGTCTGCTGAGCCACCAGGCCCAGGCCACCAGGGTCTTGTTTTGTCACCATTTTTATTTACAAAAATTTTTGTATTCTTTCAAATTCTTTGGCACTGAAAGAAAAAAAGAAACTCCTTCAGCTCTGACAGTATAGTGGGGAATGGAAGGATTGAAGCTGAAGAAGCTTCTTGGATGAGAAGCGAAACGTCTTCAAAGAAAAACCAAGGAAGTCCAGTTGCCTCTTGAAAAACACCTTTGGGACAGGACCTGGATGACTGAGAATCTCCATAGACATCTTTGGGAATTTAGCATCTTTGGGAACATCTGGTTCACAGGCCATTATGTGGTTGTAGAATTTGGGGGGAGGGGGCTGCAGTTGGAATACATCTGGTAGGCACCAAATGGGAGAAAGGAGCCATTCCCAGGAAAGCAAAATGGGAGCTTATGTTGCACCATTACCCTGGAGTTCCTCTCCACGTCTCTCCAACAGGGATTGGAGACTCCTGGTTTACATCACTCTCTGGGCAGTTTACAATGTCAGCACATTGCCCCCAACCCTCTGGGTCCTCATTTTACCAACCTCAGAAGGATAGAAGACTGAGTCAACTTTGAGTTCCATCAGGATCGAACTGCTGGCAGTGGGCAGAGTTAGCCTGCAATACTGCACTCTAACCACTGCGCAACCACTGCTTTTCTAATGCTTTGATGACGCTCAAAAGAGGGGATGGGAAAGACCTTGTTTAGGGAGAAACTTTTTCATCTTCCAGCAACTTTCTCCAGCTTCTCCTAAGCAGTACAAAAAATGAAGCACAAAAAATGTGAAGGACAAAAAATTTCCCAGGTCACCTGCTGCTCTGGAGGAAGGACTGAAAAGAAGAAAGTGGTCCAAATCTCTTCAACATTAAGAAGACAAGTCATCCCTTCATCTCCTCAATTTAGAAGACTGAGTCAACTTTGAGTTCCGTCAGGATCGAACTCCAGGCTGTAGGCAAAGTTTGCCTGCAATACTGCATTCCAGCCACTGCACCCCACCCCACCACCAACCAGGGCTCCGTGGTTTCCCTCTGCCCTCCAGAGTCCCCTTCCTTACCCAGTTCTCCATGCGGGCAGCCCTGCATTTCAGCCGCACCTGGAGCCTCTCGCCTTCTCCGCCTGGGGCCTCGAAGGCTGCCACTAGCTGCCGCGTCTGCTCCAGGTCTTTGGGGTTCACCAGGGGCTCCAGGGAGCGCAGGTATTGGTTCATGGTTTGAGCCAATGATGGCACAGGTTGACGCGGGAGGGCAAGGGAAGAGGCATTTCGGTAGTGGAATACCTAGAAAATCAAAAGGAGGCAAGAGAGAACTTAGCATATTTGCTTAATCAACACTTTTTCTTCCTTGAAGCTGGGTTCTCATAACCCATCGATCCATACCCACAACACCCAATCACAGGTAGTCCTGGATTTACAACCATTCCTTTAGTTAAAAAGTTTTTTTTTTATTTTTTTTTAAATGACTCATTTTTCATACTTATGACCGTCGCAGCATTCCCGCGGTCACATGATCAAAATTCAGAGGGTGGGCAACTGGCCCGCATTTACTACTGTTTGTGGCATCCTGCAGTCATGTGACCGCATTTCATGATGGGTTTTTTTTGCTGGAAACTGGTGTTTATGTCTGGTTTCTGGCAAAAAAGGAAAAATCCCATAGGATACAATGGATTGGATTAAAGATTGTAGTGTTTGTTAAGGAATTTGCAGAGTAACCCTTGAGTAGCAAGGGTGTGCACATGAAAACGATTGAGAATAGTTATGAATAAGCACAGTCACCACACAGATACACCGAGTTGTGTTCTAGTTTACTTTTCAGGAAACAGTAAAACACAGTCCAATAAACAGTCCAGATCATACATATATAAATCAGGAGACAGCCAAAATGACAGGGATAATCCAATAACAAAGTCTTCTTACCAGTCGTCAAAGTCATTCACAGTAAACAGTTCTTCTGGATTTGCAAACAGTACCAGACAGAGATATCAGAGAGCAAGAACAACAAAGAGAACAAACCATGTTTCTAGCTCCCTCTTAAGGACATTGACAACAGAGCTAACCAATCAGGACATAGTATGATGCAATACAGCAATCTTAAAGCTATACAATACATACATACATTTTCACTGCGAACATATATTGATGGTTATTATATTGCCAACCCAACCAATTAGGTAATAGTCATAGTCCTAACAGTGTTCACTTAATGACCACCACACACACACAAAAAAGGGTTGTAACATCATTGCTAAACAACTGCCACAAAAAGATTGCAAAAAACAGTCACTTGGCAATCCGCTTAAGGAACATGACGACTTCTGCCCAAAATTGCAGGCTCAGTTTATGGTCGTAAGCCAAGGACAACCTGTATAGACTTATCTTGTACCGATTTGTGTAGGAAACCTAGTGTCAGCTCTACCAGGTAGACCAGATTAAGAAACCAAGGCCATTGTCAGGTGCAAGAAGTCAGAAGCCAAGATAAGAGTTCAAACGTACTACAGGTTTATTTCATCCTACCGTGTTTCCCCGAAAATAAGACCCTGTCTTATATTTTTCTGAACCCTGAAATAAGCGCTTGGCCTTCTTTTCGGGAGGTCTTATTATTTTGGGGTGTGTGGAGCAAGATGGGGCTCCTCTTGCCATCTCACCTGATTTCCAGCTCTGCGTTTAAATATTTTTGGGGAGGGTTTATTTCCGGGGGGGAGGCTTATTTTAGCGCATGCGCTCAAAAGCTTGATTGGGCTTATTATCAGGGGATGTCTTATTTTTGGGGAAACAGGGTACCAATACGTTAAGAATCTAGTCAAGGCAAATTGGCATTAGGTAAGAGTCAACGGATTTCAAGGGGGACTTAGGTCTCTTACAGGGGCATTAGAGACTCTAAACTAATGATGTATTTGATCCCACCCTCAGGCTCGTCTTGGTCAAATCCTATAGCAGGAGTCCTCAAACTTTTTAAACAGGGGGCCAATTCACGGTCCCTCAGGCTGTTGGGGGGGCCCAGACTGGCTGGATAGGTTTGGCTAGGTGGTCTTGTGACTGGGTGGGTGTGGCCAATTTAGCAGTCCATTAAACAATACACACAAATTAAATTTTGTTATGCTCCTGGGGGTGGAAAGCAGATTAGTGAAGGGATGTGGCTGCCTTGATGTGTGTGTGAGGGACTTCTCTCTGTGTGTGGGTGAGTGTCCCTCCCTCCCTCTCTCTGGAGGCCAAAAACGGGCCCGTTTTTGGCCACCTTGGCCTCCAGAAGGCAGGTGGCGGCCAGCGGGGGTGATGTGGACAAGGCAGCCTCGTGTTCCCACGCAAGCCGGATTAATGGCTTCGGCGGGCCATATCCAGCCCACAGGCCGTAGTTTGAGGACCCCTGTCCTATAGCCATGTAGATCAGAATCAGTTATTATAATAGCTGTAGTTAACAGAACCTTCCCAAGTCTCAACGTGCTTCCACCTCCCTCACTTTATCTTCATGTGAATTTGGGAGGGGCTTCTTTGAAATGTTTACTCACCTTACATTCTTGGCCTGGGTTCAGGCCCTTCTTATCTGACCTTAGCAGCTCAACCCTTCTGTCGTTCAAGCTTGTTCTCTACGCTCTCTCCAGATATTTTCTGTCTACAACTCTCATACCCCTCGCCATTGATCGGAGATGGCTGGAGCCCTGCTCTAGGAATAGCAGGCGATGCTTTCTCAGTATCAATTCATTAAAACGACTGCCCCATCTACCTTGCTCTGAACTACCATTAAAGAGCAGGGTGTAAGAGACGGGCCTGGAGAAAGAGGCATCATGAAATAAGGCCCACGACGCAGCCATCTTGATGAAATGGACAGAGTTCAGGGTTGAGCTAATGTTTGGAGAGATACCTCCCCCTTTATCCCAACTTGGATTTCCCACAGGATAATGATGGAAGAAAAGTCACAAAATCATGGAAAAACAATGGCTCCTCTGCTGAGTGAAAGGGAAACATTCGTCATTTTTTTTAAACATGTAACTGATTAAACTCTTTAGGCATTAGATACTATGCTATCTTAACTGCCCAACAGTTAAGAAAAGATTGGACTACCATTTGTCTGAAATGGTATAGATCAGTGATGGTTAACCTTTTTGCCATTGCGTGCCAAAAGTGGGGGGAGCGGGCGCACGCATGCCCACACCCATAATTCTATGCGCCCCGCCCCCCTGCCTGTCTCCCCGACCCCCCCCCCCCCGGTGCTTCACTGTGATGGCACAGTGGGCCCGGCAGGCCCGTTTTTCATCCTCCCCAGGCTCCAGAGCCTTTCTAGGAGCCTGGGAGGGCGAAAACTGCCTTCCCCACCCCTCCAGAGGCCCTCCAAAGGCTGGAAATGGCTGTTTGCCAACTTCCAGTGGGCCCAGAAGGCCCAAAAATCAGCTGACTGGCATGCACATGTGCACCAGAACTGAGTTTGCATGCCCATCAATATGACTCTGCGTGCCACCTGTGGCACGCGTGCCATAGGTTCGCCATCTCAGGTATAGGTTCCTGCCTGAGCAAGGGGTTGGACTAGAAGACCTCCAAGGTCCCTTCCAACCAGGGTGGATAAAAATCAAATTGGATTTTTTAAATTTAAATCAGATTTTTTATTTAAATCAGATTTTTTTGATTTTTATTGAATTTCTTTTAATAAAAAACTTTTGGGGTAAAAATCTATTGTAAGATAGTTTTCTATTTAAGATACATAAATAATTTAGTTTATTCCGCATGAAATGGAGCTTAGTTATGTAGCACAAGGCTGTATATTCTGCAACACTGGGACTATCGGTGAGTCAACAGCAGATCAAAGGAGTAGCAGAGATGACAGTTGCTGTTTAAAAATTATGATTTAAATCGAGTTGATTTAAATCAAGTCTTTTTACTAGTGATTTAAATCATGATTTAAATCATGATTTAAATCGACTCGATTTAAATCAAATCCACCCTGCTTCTAACTCTGTTATTTTTCTCTCTTCTCTTCTCTTCTGGATTCAGACTTTGTTTCCTCAAATGAGATTTCCACTGATATAGTACAAACTAAACACTAAACTATGTCTTCACATTCCACCTTGCTATGAAGGTAGGTCTAACCATTAAGGTAATTTCTGATTTGCTAGCTAGATCTAAGGCATCAGAGAAAGAGGACTGGCTTTGATTGGACAAAACACAAGTCACTCTGCCCAAAGAGGTTGGCTCTGATCTACCTGCCCACCTTCCGTAAAACAGAGAAGCACTCCAAAGAAGAACCAGGAAAGACGTCCCTGCCTGCCTATCAACTTCCACACGCAGGAGGCCCTGATGACATTTTTCCAACTGTATTCTGGTCAATGAACCTCCAACATGTTTGGGAATCCAACATCTTAATTCAAGGAGGTAAAAAAAATGTTTATTTAAACAGATTATATTGATTTTATTGAGTTTTTATGTAACCATCCTTTTCCTTGTTCCTGTATTTCCCCAATAAACTTTTTTTTTAAATATAGAATTTGGCTCCTCTGGTTTAGTGAGGGAATTTCTCATTAATGGGTGGCTAAGGGCTTAATATTATATGTGGACTCAATAAAGTTCAATAAACCATGATTAAAACCATGGCTTAGCACAACACCTACGACTTCAACTATCCTCAACTAAAACTTTGACTATTACATGTTTTCTTAATGGGGGGGGGAGGAAAGATCCTTAAATTGCTTGTACACAGAGGCCGAGAGATCTCTTACAATACATATGAGATAAAATTATTACTGTATATTAGATACATCTATTAAAGTTGTACACCTCCCAAGTCTCAAGAACTAGAGAGACAACTAAAATTTCAAAGACTTCAGAGAAGCAGCCTCCCCACCCACCCTCCCACCTACTTCCCGAAATTTGTTTTTCTGTACCTATCCACATCCCAGACACAAATCGAGAGGGCATCATTGCTTATTTAGCAGACTCTAATTTGGTTATAAGAGGGGAAATTGGAATGAAAAAGATTTAAAGTCCGGTGGCGAATGGAGGCACCTCTACGTCTATTAAGGAAAACTTAACAAACCTTTTTTTACCAAACCACTGAAGTTTTTTTTTTTTAATTTTTACTTTTTAAAAAGTTTTTTATTATGAACACATTAAAACAAGACGCAAACATACAACATTTATAGGCATATCGCTTTTTTTTTACAGCTCTTTCAAAGTGATCCTTTCTTACTCTTTATACATATTTACACATATTGTAACCTTATCTTACTCTACCTTGTTTACCATCTTTCTTTATTTCGTCTATTTTGTACCTAGATCTTCAATTTATCCAAACCACGGAAGTTTTATGCTGCTTATTTGACTCTTATCCCCCCCCTGGCATTTGTTTTCTTTTTCCCCAGCAGATCTCATTTTAACGCGATCTCCAGCAGCAAACCTGTATTTAAAAACGGGTTTGATCTGCTTCCCTAAAGGTAACTTAAGCCCACGATTGAATACAAGCAGAGCATGGCCATATACCATCCTATTATTAGAACTGCATTATTTATAATATGGTTCTAAGGACCAGAATAATAATGTGCAAATAATACAATGCCTTATATTTTTTTTCAATTCTTTTTTTTTATAAAAAGTTTTTTATTTTAAACACATTAAAAACCAAACATAGACATACAACATTTATAGAATAATAATAATAAAAAAATTTAATATTATTTTTCTTTTCAGTTAGGTGCAGCGGTCCATTCTTTCTACACATCAATATTTACAGATAATTTAGTATTAACTTATTTGACGTTCATTTTCTGCTTTCTATCAATCCTTCTATCGGATCCTATCAATTGATTGTACACATTTCCCCCCTCGTTCCTTCATTCATTTACCGTGTTTCCTTATTTTTTCAACCATTCATACCATCTACTCCATACCTTATAGTACTTTGATTCTTCAAAGGATTTAATTTAAGAAAATTCTGGAACGCGCAGAATTAGATAAATTAACTAAATTAACTGACTAACTTTAGTTAATTAATTAAATTAACTAAAGACGTTAAGGGGAAAGAAGAATACAACGCCTTATAATGCGGAAAACCCCCGAGAGCAAACTTCGCCCTTCCAGACCGCGCGGCGAAATCAAAGGCTCTTCCAGATACCATAATCGGAAAGATAATGGCATTAAATGCGTTTTAATTTTATAAAACGGGAGCTACCACCACCTTCAAAGGGGGTGGGGGTGGGGGAAAGGAACCACTTCTCTTCCCCACGCAATGGACAAAGCCATTTGCTTGCCTGCCTGCCTGCCAGCCATCTGGATCTTCAGAGGTTTCGCGCTTCAGCCAAGCGAACCGGTAGGGGGAGGTGAGGTCGCTGCGCTGCGCTGCGCTCTCTGCACGCAAAAGCCTCTTGCACGCGATCCCGGCTGCTTTTTGCACGGGATCGCTTTCCAGGACGGTTTTGCACGCGACTCCCCGTTTCCCCTTTAAACTCCTTTGGGGGATTCCCACCCCCACCCCCCTCCCCCAAATCGCAGGTTCGACCCCAGCCTCCACGGGCAAGCGTTGCCGCCTTCTGCACGTCCGCGCGCAGAGTGGCAATTGTTGCAAAAACAAACCCCGCCTTAACTTTTGCACTGCAAACCTTTGCAAAAAACAACAACAACAAACAAAAAACCAACAAGAAAAGAGAAGGGGCAACGGAGGAGAATGTTTTTTGTACTGACCGTAGGCGCCGAGTGGTTGCTCTGGCCGCAGCCCCAAGGCCGCCACAACGCCCTCCACCTTCCCATTGCAGGAATCCCATGCGCCCTCCTGATAGCCCAGGGTTTTTGCGAAGTTGCGAAGGGTGGGCGGCGAGGAAAGCGGAATCCCAGCCTGACCCGGTTGCGAACGTGTGTGTCACTTCCTGCAAAAGGGGAGGAAACTGTGCAAGAGGGAGAGAGGGGAGGGTGCCTCCCTCCCTCCCTCCCTCCCTCTCTTTCTGTCTCCCCACCCCACCCCACCCCTCCCCAATTCTGGTCTGCCCTGGGAAAGCAATCGGAGATTTCCCCCTAGATCTGTTCTCTTATTAGTAGGAGAATAAGAGAATAAGAGAATAACTTTACTGTCCCTTTAAATGCACGCCAATCGGCATAGATTAAAAGGAAATTTCGTTGCATACAGCTCTCAAAAAGGGGGAGCACTTCCAATATACAAAATGGAAATGGAATGGAATGGAATCATAGGATAGGATAAGAGGGAGAGGAGAGGAGAGATAGAATAAGAAAAGGAGAGGAGAGAAGATCTGCACACCTTCTGTCGCGCTCTTAAGACTTTTTTATTCCATCAAGCCGGCCTGGCCTAAATCTTTCCCCTTTAAAAATGTAAATTTTAATTTGTTTTTAAAATTATTGGGTGTTTTTAATTTGTCTCGGCCAAATTGTTTAATTCGGTTTTATTCTGTTTTTAAATTTTGTATTTATGTGTTTTATTTTGTGGCTGTTCACCGCCCTGAGTCCTTCGGGAGTAGGGCGGTATACAAATCCAATAAAAGTAAAGTAAAGTAAAGAAGAAAAGAATGAGAATAGAATGAGAATAGAATAAGAATTAGAAGAGAATAGAATGAGAATAGAATTAGAAGAGAATGAGAATGAGAAGAGAAGAAGAATGAGAATAGAATGAGAATAGAATAAAAATTAGAAGAGAATGAGAATAGATTAGAAGAGAAGAGAATGAGAATAGAATAGAATAGAATAGAGAAGAGAAGAGAAGAATGAGAAGAGAATGAGAAGAGAATAAGAATTAGAAGAGAAGAGAAAGAAAGAATGAGAATCGATTAGAATAGAATAGAAAGAGAAGAAAAATGAGAAGAGAATGAGAATATAATAAGAATTAGAAGAGAATAGAATGAGAATAGAATAAGAGAAAGAGAAGAAGAATGAGAAGAGAATGAGGAGAAGAAGAATTAGAAGAGAAAAAATAATGAGAATAGAATAGAATTAGGATAGAATAGAATAGAAATAAAATAGAATAGAATAGAATGAGAAGAGAAGAGAAGTATGAGAATAGAATGAGAATAGAATAAGAATTAAAAGAGAATGAGAATAGAATAGAATAGAATAGAATAACAGAGTTGGAAGGGACCTTGTTGGTCATCTAGTCCAACCCCCTGCTCAAGCAGGAGACCCTATACCAGTGATGGTTAACCTTTTTGGTGCCGAGTGCCCAAAGCGCGCATGCGTGCACGCAAATGCACGCGTGCATGCCCAGACCCCTCCCCAAATCCAATGCGAGTGCCCCACACGCATGCGCCCCACCCCCGCATATGCACACGCATCCCCGCACATGACCCCCTGCACATGTGCCCCGCTCTCCCTGTGCATGCGCCCCAGGACCCCCTGCGCCCTGTTTTGGCTTCCAGGTTGGTACAGGAAGTCTTCCAGGCCCAAAACATGGGGTGGGGTGTGGGTGCACATGTGTGAACCCCCAAAATGCAATGCAAGTGCCCCCTGCACATGCACTCCACCCTCCCCCACGCATGTGCGACAGAGACCCGAAAACCAGCTGGCTGGCAGGTTTTCCACACGGGCGGTGGAGCTGAGCTGGGGTAATGGCTGGCGTGCCAGGCGACATAGCTGCGTGTGCCACTTCGGGCACGCGTGCCATAGGTTCGCCATCACGGCCCTACAGACCAATCTCATCTTAAAAACCTCCAGTGATGAAACACCTACAACTTCTGAAGGCAAAACTGTTCCACTGGTTAATTGTCCTCACTGTCAGGAAGTTTCTCCTTAATTCTAGGTTGCTTCTCTCCTTGATTAGTTTCCATCCATGGTTTCTTGTCTTGCCTTCTGGTACTTTGGAAAATAAATTGACCCCCTCTTTTTGTGACAGCCCCTCAAATACTGGAACACTGCTATCCTGTCCCCCCCCCAGTCCATCTTTTCTCTAGATTTGCCAAACCCAAATCCTGCAATTGTTCTTCATATGTTTTATTCTCCAGGCCCTTAATCAGAGCCTGTAATACAGAGCCTGTAGTACAGTGGACTAAAGCACTGTTATTAACATCTGCTGCCTGCAATTACTGCAAGTTCAAATCTCACCAGGCTCAAGGTTGACTCAGCCTTCCATCCTTTCAAAGGTAGGTGAAATGAGGACCCAGATTGTGGGGGCAATAAGCTGACTTTGTATAAATATACAACAGTATGAAGGCTATTGCTTAACGCATTGTAAGCTGCCCTGAGTCTCCGGAGAAGGGCAGCATATAAATTAAAGCAAAAAAAAAAAAAATCATCTTGGTTGCTCTTCTCTGCACTTTTTCCAAAGTCTCAACATCTTTTTTGTAATGGGGTGGCCAAAACTGGATGCAGTATTCCAGGTGGGCCTTACTAAGGCTTTACTAATACTTCACGTGATTTTGACTCTATGCCTCTGTTTATATCTGGCTACTAATGTGTAGTCTGGTGCAATCAAGACTTCAGGGGTGGGTTTGAAATCCCATTACTACTGGTTTCCTTGTGCGTGCGCACGGGGTGCTTCTGCGCTGATGTGTCCGGGCAGGTGGGCAGAGCCTGCCGCCACTGCCACTACCAGTTTACCCAATCCTGTGCGAACCAGTAGTAACCCACCACTGCAAGACTTTCCAAATGTCGAAAAAGGTAAGCAATGTTGGACTTGGCAAAGAATGGGTATGGGAGGCCCCTTGAAATCCTACAGCTTAAGCTAGCCCTGTATTTCTCAACCTTGGCTGTGCTAAGGTGTTTGGACTTCAACTCCCAGAATTCCCCAGCCAACTTCCCCTGCTCAGCGTTGACGAGGAATGAGCAACTGATCATTGCTTTCATCACACTCACTCGAAGGTCATCACACAGGGTTGAATTCAGGGGTGAAATGCTCCGGGTTCGCCCGATCCGGTAGTGATGGTGGCGGGTGGTTCAGAGAACGGGTAGCAAAAATCCCTGCACCCATCCCACCATGCCCAGCTGAGTCGCACGATCATCAGAGGCTTTTTTTTTTTTTTTTACTTTCAAAAGCATTTTTTCTACAACCTCTTCTGATGAAAAAATGCTTTTAAAAGTAAAAAAAAAAGCCTCTGATGATCGCGTGGCTCAGCTGGGATAGTCAGAGGCTTTTCAAAGCATTTTTTTTCTGCAACCTCTTGGCCGAAGAGGTGGTAAAAAAAATGCTTTGAAAAGTCTCTGACGATCCCAGCTGAGTTGCCTGATCAGCAGAGGCTTTTCAAAGCATTAGAAAAATTGCTTTGAAAAGTTAAAAAAAAAAAAAATTGGCCACGCCCACCCAGTCACATTACCCCACCCCACCAAGCCACGCCCACAGAACAGGTAGTAACAAATTGTACATTTCACCCCTGGTTGAATTGTTCAGGTTTATAATGTAGAAAAGCCCAGGTTAGCTAGAAAGTCGGGTGCAGTTCAATTTAAAACATGACTGGAGGAGGCTACATTGCAAAAGAGTCTATACTGGTAGTCCTTAGGGATTTTAGTGACCGAAATTACAACGGCATTGAAAAAAAAGTGACTTATGATCATTTTGCACACTTATGACCATTGCTGCATCCCTATGGCCAAGTGATTTACATTCGGATGCTTGACAACCGACTCACATTTATGATGGGTTGCAGTGTCCTGGGGTCATGTGATCCCCTTTTGTGACCTTCTAACAAGCAAGGTCAATGGGGAAACCAGATTCACGTAACAGCCAAGTTACTAATTTAACAACTGCAACTTGTTCACTTAACAAACGTAGCAAGAAATGTCGTAAATTGAGACAAAACTGAAAAACCTCTCACTTAGCAACATAAAGTTTGAGCTCAATTGTGGCCGTAAGTTGAGGACTACCGGTATTGCTTGAATTGATTAAGAGGCATTTCTATTGTTCATTTCTCTATTATGGCTGCAACTTCTCCTCAGAGTTTGCAGCCATAATAGACTTTGCAACAATGTTTAACAGTGACTTTATTCTGTTAACATAAAACTAAAATCTGGTGGGTGGCTAAGATCAAGTGAATCTTAAAAAGGAGTAAAAGGGTTATTGCTTCTTAATGTTCTGCCCCAGCTACAGACCCCAAAGAACACAGCACACACAAAGTTTGTACCAAACTTAAATTTACTAAAATAACTCAGTCTTTTCCAAACAAAGGCTGTTAATAAACTTCCTTAACAGGCTACAAGAAAACAAAGATAAAAGTAATCACAATCTTACTAAGGTTGGCAGAAAGCCCAGAAGCAATTTGCAGAGAATCCAGACGCGAAGGAGAATGAACTAAAGTTGTTCCCTACAACTTGCTTCAGTCATCATCCTTCCTTAAATAGGCTAAGGGAGTGGCCAATTAGCCCCAAGCCTTACTCTCGAGGAGACCTCCTCTTGAGGAGCCACTCCTGCCTTTTGCCAGCTCTGCACGCCCGTGCATCGAGAAGAGGCTCCTCCTCTTCTTCCTCTTCACTTATGGGAGCTTCTGGAGGTTCTGAAGGCCCTGGCTGAATCCCTGCCTCTGGCACCACATCTTCTCCAGCCTCCTCATTGTCTGACTCAGGTGCCAGCTGCACAGGCTGCTGGCGCAACACCACACCAGCCTCCTTGCTGTCAGAATCAGCTACAATCCACACAGGCCGCTGACAGGCCACAACACTTAATGAGTACATTTATTCATATGTTTATTCAGTTATATGTTTATTCATACCATTATTCTGTCATTATATTTTGTGGTCAGCTTAAGAATCAGCAATGGCTTGAGAAAAACATTAAGATGGTGTTTCTTAAAATGTGATCCCACAATCTCTGGGGTGTCCCCCCCCCCAGGTGCTTTCAGCAACCCACCAAATCAAAATGATTTGCCAGCCTATGTTGAAAAATAATACAATATTAAAATCCCATAAGATGATTGTGACAGGAAG